AATGATAGTGTTGAGTCTTATAGTAATTTTAATATAGATTTTTATTAAGAATATTAGTAAATATTTAAATAATTAATTATAAATTTGTTATTATATAAGTTTTATTATGTTTTTGTTCAAAGTAGCTTCGTTGAATCATATATCCCACTTGATCTCTAAAGAAATTCTGCGAACGGAGATTTGGCACAGAAAATAGAGCTAAAAATAGAAGCAAAAATAACCGAGCCAATGGCCCTAAGGCAACGCTCTCCCTTATACAAACACATAAAGACACGGCCCGTGAGCTCGAATAAAAGGGAAAAAATCAATGTGAATACTCCAGACTCCCCAGCACGCTCGGGAGCGCGTAGCTTATATTGGCCTACGCACAGTGGCCTGAAAGACCATCAAGGGCGTGCTTGCTCACCCTCACGACACTATCAATGAGATGCACATCTCATCCTGGAAAACAGTTTCAAAGCCATAAGCATAGCACTAGCAGTGACTATGGGGCACGTCGCCTTTGCCACATGGATTGTCTTCTCTGACAGTATCATAGCGGAGCTACGCACCTCCGTGTCTGAACAAATCCCATTATAAAATAGGCTCTGCATGCCAGACTGGGAGAGAATAGCATGCCCTGTGCTACGAAATCTTGATGTGCCGTCCTTATTTGAGTAACGCCAGCCAATTTGACTATATAACTACATGGCGCCCACCTCAAATTATTTGCTCTGACTGTGCAAATGCTATAGATTAATCCTAGCTTTTGGAGAGTGATGGAAAAGTCCCTTAGAGGAAAGAGCAATTCCTAAAAGCTAAATAGTTTTCCATATCCCACAAAAGATTTCTTTAGCTTGAGATAAGGATTCTCATTCCAACACAGAGTCAGAGTTTTCTCTCAGAAAGTCTAATATAAAAAGAGAGCATGGGCTCTCATATCATTTGTAAAATGCGACACACTAAGAGTCTTCTACAATACTTGTTCAATTGAGGTTTGCTTCGTCATCTCTCAACCACTACGCCAAGCATTTAAAATTGTGTCAAGAATATCAAGGAAGCCGTCCACGTTATTTGTTGCCTTAAGTTTTTTTTTTAGTCTCGTAATCTGTAATGACTTGGTTTATTCTGTTCATTATTCTGTTTGATTATGTAAATCGATTTTATTCAAGCCCTAGTATTGAGACTGCAATTATGGATTTAAATGTTATACATAAATAGATCACCTTAAATTCTTCATAGCGTTAAGGAGGAGTGATTTATCGTAGCTTAATTGTGCTCCAGATATTAAATAAATATTATAGATTTTTTTTTCATTTATTTTGTTCAAAGTAATAAAAATTTATTATTGACAAATCTAAGTGCTTCCTAGGGTAGAAGTTACTTCTCGCCCTTGAGATTGATTGTATTTCATTAATTAGCTTATCGCAGAGAATGTTTGGTGATATTCAAAAAGTAAAGTAAAATTTACTATCTGTAGAATAGATTAGAAACCGGACATGCAGAAGCTATTATTTGGATTAATACATACATGTGGGGATTATTTTCATAAGTTATAATTATAACTCACTGGTACGTTTAGATTAATTCCACAAACTTGAATAGGCCCACTAGAGATTCTGTAAAAATAGGGTATATATGTCATGGAGTTTGATTATACGTCTCATTAGGAAAGCCATAGGTAGATTATATCCACATTGCCGGAGTGTGAAAAAGAACTATTATACAAATATTTCAGCGGGATAGGGCTTATTGAGTGAAGTTTCTAGGAGATTGGGTCCTGACTGTAAGCAATTAAAGAGTTGAAATTGATACGAACTAATAGAAACTTATACATTGGGATAGAGTTAAGTGAAATCGAGAAAGCAATCCCTAGTAGTTTTTAATTCTGACTCTTTTCTTCAATATCTGTGCCTTGTTATTTTTGTTTCTTCTTTTAATTTATTTATTTCTCACAACAATTTTCCCTTATTGTCGTTTAAATAATAGATAAGGTTAACATATTTTGGTACTTGATTAACAAAATCCCTATGGGAGATACTCTACTCATTCTATATTACTTGTTGCGATGTTCGTATACTTGGAAAAAGTACTGTCAAGGTTTTTGGCGGCCGTTTGGCGCCGTTGCCGGGGATTGGCGTTATCAATATCAATACTAATTACCCTATTATTAATTTAGACATTTATTCTTCTTTTGTTTTATTTAATTTTTCCTTTAAAGAATTATTTCAGGTGTTTATGCAAAGAAGATCAGGTAGGACTAAACCTTTGATCTTTGATCTAGAAATTGAAAAGACCTGTCGTAGGAACAACGCCGCTAGAAGAACACGTGAAAGCAAACTTGAACAGCAAGCAGACATGGACGATGAAGTTAACCCTCAAAACAGACCTCAACCTCATGTCCGCACCTTGTGAGATTATACAACACCTTCTCTCAATGGAACAACCTCGAGAATCACAAGACCTAGGGTGGAAGCAAATAATTTTGAAATTAAACCTGCAATTATCCAAATGCTTTCTCCCTCAATTCAATATGGAGGTTTACCTAGTGAAGATCCTAAAAGATCCTAATGCCCATATCATAAATTTCTGGAGATTGCGATACCTTTCAAACAAAATGGTGTTCCAAGGATTGCCATAAAACTAAGACTCTTCCCTTTCACTCTAGGGAAAAGCACGAATCTTGGTTTACAATCATGGCCCTGCTGGACAAGTTTTTTACACATGGGAAGGATATTAGCCCAAAAATTTTGTAGCAAAGAATCTTTCCATCTCTGTTTTCGTCGAAATCCCGAACCCCGGATAGGATCTCGAAAAAATCTTTTTATTTATTATTATTGGTGTTTATTTATTTTTTGGAAAACAGGTGATAAAATAATCTCTTTTGAATTACGCGATGCCGATAAATCGGTCTTATAAATATTTTTAAGTCGCTCACCCCATTTTTTCAGCAATGGACCGTTTGTCATTTTATTTCTAAAATTCGACTCCATTTTAAACCCAATTTTTTTATTCAAGGCCCGAATTATTTAGAAAAAATAACTGATCAAGTGCGTACGTAGTCACGATTTCTAGGTAAAGGGAATTAGGTAGCGTCGGCCCGTTGGAACCGATGCCTGGAAAACGGCCTCTTTTTAACCTACGATTGTCTAATTGATTTTTATTTTTAGAAAAGCCAATTATTTAAAACCCAACCGCAATAAGACGAACCGAGGTTTCCTAAATGTGTGAAAATTAATTAATCGTCCGCAACGTAGAGTTCATTCATTGCATACATCAATAAATTAATCATCACATCACCATTCATCCAATAATCATTATCAAATAAAATAAAAGACCCGTTTATCTTTCTTTTTCCTTGCCTTATGGCCACAAAACCGATTTCAATAATATAATCAATAATAAGCAGATAGAATGAATTAAATTCTAAAATCTGCATTGATCACAAGTAATTAATTGGTTTTTGGTTTGATTAAAACACAATTTGGCCCATTACTGGTTTTTTCCGGATTAAGATTAAAAAATCTACTTAGTAACATGAAATTAGGCAGAGGGCCACAAACCGAGTTTAATAATATAATCAATAATAAACAATAAGTAATAAATTCTAAAATCTCATGATCACAAGTAATTAATTGGTTTGGTTTGATAAAAACACAATTTGCCCATTACTGATTATTTTCCGGATTAAGATTAAAAATCTACTTAGTAACATGAAATTAAGACAAAATAAGGCAACTATTCTGGAATTTGAAGACATTCGTGTCACGCAACTGTTCTATGAAGCACAGTCGCGTGGCGCAACTCTCATTATTTATTCTGGAACTTAGAATAGTTGCGTCATGCAGTTGTTCTATGAAGGACAGTCACGTGACGGAACTGTTCGTGACATTATTAAAACACTCAGACATATCGATTATTTATTCATAGCAAAATATCAGATACAAGCGTGAAATAAAATAGAAACTGAGTACACGAACAGCTGCGTCACGCAGGTGGTCCAGTCCAGATCAAAGACTTTTGGACATGAACAGTCGCGTACAGTGTCGTCGTCACGCAAGGTAATAGCTACGTACGGCGGCTGCTCTGGTCCGCAACTACCTTTCAAACTACGTCTTTTACGTGGTTCTTTTGTCAAAATGATTAAGTACACAATTCAAAAAAGGTCCAACAGTGGGCCAAAATTACGTTTTAACATTACAAACCATTAAAGCACTATGAAAAATGAAATTTTTTAAGCAAGAAAAAGTTAAAAATGAAAAGAAAAGGGTAAAATGATTACCTAGCCCTCAGATTTGAGGATTGCATGCACTTAGATCGGTTTTAGGACACTGCTTCACGATCCCAGAGATGTTGTTACCAAGTTTATACCAAGCAAACGTTTTCTTTTCTTTCTTTTCTATCTTTTTCTCTCTTTATCTTTTTTTTGCTCTTCTTTTTTTTTTTTAGTTTCAAAACTAGATGGTTAATGGTTTGATCTTCCTCAAGTTTACTCACTTGAATTCTTGGAGAAGAAACCCTAGCCGTTTAATTGAAAGCTTAAGTTAAAACATTAAAATCTTTAGAGAAAAATGAGAGAAAATGTTAAAAAGTCCCGTTTTAAGCACAAAATGATGTATTTATATGGTAGGCAACAGAACAAGCTGCGTCACGCAGGTAGAGGCTGCGTGACGGAACCATGAGCTGCGTGACGCAGCTTACTTTTCATACAGTTGTCGCGTATCCATATTCATACAGTTGTCGCGTAATCCATGAACAAACAGTGCAGGCCGCGGCACAGGCGCGCGCCCAGATGGTGTCAACCTAGTTAGAGTTGCGTGTGACGCAACTATGAGTTGCCGTCACGCAGGTTATAGCTGCGTGACGCAAGCCCAATACGCGATCAGGCTCTCTGGCGGTTTGGTTCAAATTTTGGTTCAAACACTTCTGGTTGATCGTGAGCCTTGTTCCTTATCCTCATATCCTCATTGGGTCCAGGTGGGGGCATAAAAAACCACGCTCATACAACTTCAAAAACCACAAAACTGCGCAATGGAATAATGAACCTTTGCCACCAATGATCAAAAGAGTTTTGTAAGAAGCTTGGGAAAGATTCAAGGACTTATTAAGAAAGTGCCCACATCATAGTTTGCCTAAGTGGTTACAGGTACAAACTTTTTATAATACGTTATCTCCTAACATTAAAATCACTCTAGATGTAGTTGCAGCTGCAGGTGGATCTTTTGAAAGAAAAGAAATTGATGAGGTATATGACCTGATAGAAGAGATGGCAAGCAATAGTCATTACCAAAACAGCTCCAAAAGAAAGAAGTCTGTAGGAGTTTATGAGATAGATGCCATTACAGCACTCAATGCCAAAGTGGATAATATGGTAAGAAAGTTGGATTTATTGACTACTAACCCTGTCAACTCTATTATGCAAGTTTGTGACAGGTGTAATGGGCAACATGGGGAGAATGCATGCTAGACTCTTTAAGCCCGCAAACTTTGGAACAAGTAAACTATGTGATGAATCAAGGAAGGAAGAATTACCCATACTCTAATTCTTATGATAACAGATTGAGGAATCACCCCTAATCTTTCGTATGGGAATCCAAACAATGCCTTGGAACGCAGCCACCAGGTTTTATACTCAAAAGAAAAAAAAATCTCAGGATGAGATGATCTCCTTATTGCCCTTTCTAAATCGCACATGGACTTCATGAACGAAACTAGAGAAAATAATAAAATCCAGCAAGCTGTGATAAGAAACTTGGAGATTCAGCTAGGACAGTTTGCAAACATAATGGCATCCCGACCTCAAGGTACGTTACCTAGTAATACCGAAAAGAATCCTAAAGAGCAGGTACAAGCTATCACTTTGAGAAGTGGCAAACAGTTGGAGGAACCACCGAAGATAGAAAAGAAAAAGGAAGAGCATAAACAAGTTCCCATAATTAAACTAGAAGAGCAAGAGGAAGTAAAACCATATGTTCCACCTGTTCCTTTCCCATAAAGGTTAAAGAAAGCACAAGATGACAAAAGCTTCCTCAAATTTCTTAATGTCTTCAAAAAGTTTCAAATCAACATCCCTTTTGCTGAAGCTCTCGCTTAAATGCCCAGCTATGCAAAATTTCTAAAAGAGATCCTAAGCCAGAAACGAGAAATTGATGATCAAGGAACAGTAATGTTAACTGAGGAGTGTAGTGCAATTATTCAAAACAAATTACCTCCAAAGTTGAAAGATCCAGGAAGTTTTTCTATTCCTTGTAATATTGGTAATCTTGATTTTGAAAAAGCTTTAGCATATTTAGGTGCTAGCATTAACCTTATGTCTTATGAAGTTTTTAAGATGCGAGGGATGGGAGAGCTAAAACCAACAAGGATGTCTTTACAATTGGCAGATCGATCAATCAAATATCCAAGAGGAATTGTAGAAGAGTGCTCGTAAAGGTAGGTACATCTATCTTCCCTATTGATTTTGTTATTCTTGACATTGATGAAGATAGAGAAGGATCCTTAATCCTTGGAAGACACTTTCTTGCAACTACAAGAGCATTGATTGATGTATATGAAGGTAAATTAACTTTGAAGGTAGGTTAAGAGGAAATTGTTTTTGATGTTCTTAAATCTTGTAAACTCCCTATGGATTATAATGACTGTTTTAGGATTGATGTTATTGATAAATGTGTGAAAGACACTTTACATATTAAGAATAAGGATGACATTAATAATTCGAGCATCATGAATAAGGAAGAAAGTGAACCACCAAGGCAAGAACTAAAACAACTTCCATCTCATTTAAAACATGCATTCTTAGGTGAGAATAATTCTTTTCCTGTTATTATTTCTTCTCACTTAACACTCTTCCTGCACTTAACACTTGAATCAAGGAGGAAAAGGTTATTGCAGGTTCTTCGAAAAACACATAAGAAAGCTCTAGGGTTGTGTCAATTTCAGATTTGCAGGGAATAAGCCCAAGTGTATGAATGCATAAGATCCTGATGGAGGGAGACTATAAACCTTCAATTGAGCATCAAAGAAGATTGAACCCAAATATGAAAGAGGTAGTCAAGGCTGAAATCATAAAGGTTTTGGATGTTGGTATTGTCTATCCAATTTCTGATAGCAGTTGGGTAAGTCCTGTGCAAGTTGTTCCAAAGAAGGGAGGTATGACAGTTATTTCCAACAAAAACAATGAGTTAATTCCCACTCGAACAGTCACAGGTTGACGTGTGTGCATTGATTATAAGAAGTTGAATAAAGCAACACGCAAGGATCACTTCCCTTTACCCTTTATCAATCAAATGCTTGAAAGACTTGCAGGTTATCCCTATTATTATTTTTTGGATGGTTATTCAGGATATTTCCAAATACCTATTGCTCTTGAAGAGCCTTGAAGATCAAAGAGAAAACGACTTCACTTTGCCCTTATGGTAACCTTTGCTTATAAGGAAGAAGTGCCTTTTGGATTATGCATGCTCCTGCAAGCTTTCAAGATGCATGGACGTCGCTATTCCTCTGACATGGTTGAAAAATTTATGAAATAATTATGGATGATTTTTCTATTTTTGGTTTCCTCTTTTGATGCCTTGTCTTTTGTAACTATCTTTTAGTAATGCAGCGATGCGAGGACACTAACCTTGTTTTGATTGGGAAAAATGTCCATTTTATGGTTAGTGAAGGGAAATTGTTTTAGGGCATAAAATCTCATAAAAGGGATTGGATAAAGCCAAAATCGAGGTAATTGAAAAGCTACCTCATCCAAATTCAGTAAGAGGAGTAAGAAGCTTTCTTGGCCATGCAGGATTTTATAGGAGATTTATCAAAGATTTATCCAAAATCATAAAACCTCTTTGTAATTTATTAGTTAAAGATGCCCCTTTTTATTTTGACAAAGAGTGTTTGAATGCTTTTAACAGGTTGAAGAAAGAGTTGATTTCAGCACCTATCATTGCTGCACCAGATTGGGATCTTCCATTTGAACTTATGTGTGATGCTAGTGATCATGCTGTTGGAGCTGTGTTGGAGCTGTTCTTCGGCAAAGAAAGGAAAAGATAGTTGCCACATTCATTTATTTATGCTAGTCGCCACATTGAAATGAGCACAATTAAATTATGGCCACACTGAAAAAGAACAGAACTTCTAGCTATTGTTTTTGCTTTTGATAAATTTAGGGCTTATTTGATTGGAGCTAAAACAATAGTTTACACTGACCACTCTGCCATTAAGTATTTTTTAGACAAGAAAGATGCAAAGCCTACATTAATCCGTTGGGTTCTTCTTTTACAGGAATTTGATTTAGAGATTCGTGATAAAAAGGGAACCGAGAACCTTGTAGCAGACCACCTATCCAGGCTCAAGTTGGGTGAAGAAAGGTAAATGAAATTACAAATCAATGAAGACTTCCCCCATGAACATCTTCTCCTCTTAGCAAACACACAAGCGCCATGGTATGCCAATATAGTTAACTACCTTGTTTGCAAATTCACTCCTCCCAATCTTTCTTATCAACAAAATCCCAATCTTTCTTATCAACAAAAGAAAAAGTTTTTTCATGATCTCAAATATTACTATTAGGAGGAGCCTTTCTTGTTCAAATATTGTAGTGACTAGCTCTTTTGACGATGTATACCGGAAGAGCGTATCTTGAAAAGCGGTTTGTATTGGCCTAATCTATTTAAAGATGCCTTTAACTTTTTTTGACTTTATGATCGTTGTCAAAGGTTAGGTAACATCTCTAAGCGACATGAGATGCCTTTAAACAGTATCCTTGAAGTAAAGATCTTTGATGTTTGGGGTTTAGATTTCATGGGACCTTTTCCATCTTCTTACTCTAATCAATACATTCTAGTAGCAGTGGACTATGTCTCGAAGTGGGCGGAAGCTTTTGCCCTTCCCAATAATGATGCCAAAAGTGTGATGAACTTCATCAAGAAATATATTTTCACACATCATGGCACCCCAAGAGCGAAAATCACAGACGGAGGTAAGCACTTTTGCAATAAATACTTAGATTCCCTCCTTTCAAAATATGGTGTTTCTCATCGTGTAGGTACTCCATATCACCCTCAAACTAGTGGACAAGTGGAAGTTAGTAATAGGGAAATCAAGAAGATTCTGAAGACGACAGTTGGACAATCTAGGAAGGACCAAGAAACTCGATGATGCTCTATGAGCTTATAGAATTGTATTCAAAACACCAATTGGTATGTCCCCATATCGAATGGTCTATGGTAAGGCTTGTCACCTCCCTATTGAGTTGGAACACAAGGCATATTGGGCAATCCAATTTCTTAACTTTAATGCTAAAGAAGTTGGTCAAAAAGGTTGCTTCAATTAAATATGATGGATGAAATATGACTCCATGCTTACGAGAATGCCAGAATCTATAAAGATCGCACCAAACAATGGCATGATAAGCACATTATCTTGAGGAATCTAAAGGTAGGACAATAGGTATTGCTCTATAACTCCAGACAGGTATTGCTCTATAACTCCAGACTCCATCTCTTTCTAGGTAAGTTGCACTCTAGATGGTCTGGCCCATTCACGATCAAAGAAATTTTTCCACATGGGCCATTGAAATAGTGGATGGTGACAGGAGTTTCAAAGTCAATACTCAACGCTTAAAGGTTTATCAAAATGAAAATTATGATCCAGTCAAAAACACCATCAATCTTATTTAGCCTAAACTAGGTTTAGTGCGTCGAGCTTAACGACGTTAAACAAAAGCGCTAGTGGGAGACAACCCATATTATTTTTCTAAATCTTCTTGTTTCAATTTATTTTTGTTATTTCTGTTATAAATTTCCCAAAATTTTCTCCATAATTCTTCTGTTTCAATAATAAATGCTTCAGGTACAAGTTGTTGAAGTCCACAAGATAGCACGCCCTAGCTGTGCTCATCAACACGGTCGTGCTTCAAAGAGGTGAACATCACTCTAGAAGGTTAGAGGCTAGCACGCCCTAACCGTGCTCATCAGCACAACCGTGCCTCAAAGAGGTGGGAATCAACCTTCAAGGTTAGCGGCTAGCACGCCCTGACTATGTGATACAGCACGCCTGTGCTAAAATAAGGCAAAGTTTTTTTACAGCTGGCACGCCTAAAGCCGTGCTCCATGACACGCCCGTGCGTCAAGAAAAGAGAAAGTCGTTTCACAAGTCAGAGCCTGGCACGCCCTTGCCGTGCCCTCCAGCATGCCCGTGCTAAGTAAGCCAAACTTTTCTTCTACAGGTCAGAGGTGCACACGCCCTAGCCGTGCCTTCCAGCACGCCCGTGCCCGTAAACTACCTCAAAGAGTCAGAAGCGCGCATAGCCAAATCGTGCCAGGTAGCACGGGTGTGCAACGTTCAGACCTGCGCATTAAAACACGCCTCTATTTAAAGGGCACGCCCTCATTCCACTCTTTTCCCAAATCACACGCCCTAGTTGCCTCCTCCATCTTTTCTCTTTTCTCTCTTTTTGTCTCAACCCAAACACACCAAAAACCAAATTTCTTCACCTCTCTACTTCACCATGCCTCCACGATACAAGCGCAGCAGACCTGCTGTGACATCCTACCGAGTCGAGTCTTAGCACTGAGTCGAGTCATTTCATAGAGTCGAGTTGAGTCGGGCCAAACCAAACCCGGTTGGGGCAAACAACGCCGGTTGGGGTAGAATGGGGTTATAAGTTTGAGCTTACTTGATTGAGAGAAAAAGATCAAAGCATATGGGTGAGGCATTTAATTTGCATTAAAAGACCCAGCTTGGGTCTAAGTAGAAACTGTTGACATATTGTATGGTACCGAATTTAGGAAGTTTCACATAAACATTCATTGATATTTTGAATGGCCTACACCGTAATAACCATTTTCAAACTTTGCCATGTTTCATCTTTATGCTTCATCTCCTTCTTTCTCCAATCCATTTCCATGTAGTTAAGCCTAACTTCAACTTCTCTCTGATCCAGTAAGTAAACCTTATTGAAGTTCATAATTTAATCATTTGGTCTATTTTTTAGAATATTCATAAAGACTTCCTTATTTGAATAGGTGAAAGTTAGTTCAAAGGTAGTAGAATAAAGGAAGTTTTTAAAGAAGAAGCTCAGCTTTGGAGTTAAAAGGTTTGATATCTCTTTTCATTTACCATTTTCTTTGGGCATGAGAATTTGTTGTGGTGTGTTGTTAATGAGACAATATTGCTTCATGTTGAGTGGGAGGTTACTGGTAATGGTGAGAAACAGGGGAGGAATTGAATAAAATGCGAAGTAAATATTGAGTTTATGCCTGAAACAGTTTGCTGTGAATTTACTTAGAACT